TGGAACTGCACATGCGCAGAAAGGCTCGATAGCACGTCTCCATAGGTAGGATGTTTTGTCAGAACACCGGAACATAAAGCTTATTTAAATATAAAGCCTTAGAGAAATTTATCTTTCCATTAGCATCTAATATATAAAGGATACTTCCTGTGTAGTCAAAGCTTTTGTTTAAATTATTCGAAATTGAAATCCTTGCTTTTCAACCAATGCAAAGAATATGAAAACAATTTTGATAAAGAAAAAGTACACAAAAAACATTTAAATTAGCGTTAAGTATGTATTCCATATTCTGAAAAACTGCACGACAACTACTTGTCTACGCTGGAGGACTGACCTTGATCCGCGCACGCGCTGTTCACGAACTTCCGGTTCCGGTTTTAACTTTAACGTTTGAGGAAAAACCACGCGCGTGCTAAGCGAGAGTGTGCGGGAAGACCCCCTGCTAAGGCAAGAAGTGGTGCCTCGCTGACGGTGAGCGAGAGAAGTAAAGAAAGTCGTTATCTACATAAAATTAACGAAAAGCTTCTCCTGTAGTCGGCAAGCATGTCGGGGGACGAGGTGAGTTGTCAGTTTTTGCTGTCTTGAAAACTACATTTTGATTTAGCTTTCGTAAGATGGACGTGGCCTAGTTTGTAGAGCGCCTTCGAACGTACGCTGTCCTTATGAGTACAGTGTAGCCTGTCTCTCATGGAGACATTAAAATGGAAATCTGTGGAGTAAGTCCTACGAATGGTCCAGTAAATAAGCTAACTTAAGTTTATCGTCATTCTAGCGAATGTAGCACATTTGTATTTACTTGTAAAAAAAAATACGGTCAGTCACATTTGTATAATTGAATTAACGTTTATAAACGAAACTGCGTAAAAATCAATTGAATATATAACCTGTTTACTAAAAATGTGCTTCTCATTGAGTTTATGTGAGAATTTCGTAAATGACTTGTGGGGAGCAGTTTTAGTAACAATTATGTTTGCACAATAGATTTAAATCTAATCTCGGCTCTTATGTATGTGTGCATAACTTCACCTTTTGACAAGAGATGGCATTTGTTATGTTTTGAAGTTGATTGTCTTTCCTGTTTAATTTAGATGATATTTGATCCCAGTATGACCAAGAAGAAGAAAAAAAAGAAGAAGCCTTTCTTGGTGGATGAGGAAGGGGCTGAGACTCTTAATGAGGATGCCCCACAGCCTGAAGTCAAGGAGGCAGAGTTTGATGGTGGGGATGACCGGGAGGTTGAATTAGAAGAAGACGAAGGGAAGAAGAAAGGTATGTACAACCAAGGAATGGTTCTCTTTACTTTCCACATCCTTAAGGCAAATAAAATTTCTGATATGAAGGATTATTGTGTGTGTATATAGAATGAGAAAAGTACACTAATCTCCCTCATTCCTGGCCCAGTAGTTTGGAGAGCTGATGTTTGTGCCTGAAAAAGTTATATTCATTAATGTTCTCCTTTGCTTACATTCTTGCCCTGTGTTTTAGTAGGGGATGTTGGGCATTTCAGACATGGACCAAAAAGGTTTTTCTTGTGTTTTGGGGATTCTTTTGTGATCTTTTGCAAGAATGACTTGCAGTGAACAGTAAAATAGATATTGCATGTATGTAATGCAGGCCCTTTCTGTTCTAAGATCTTGAACTTTTTAACATTCAGTGTTCTCCCCATAGAACACAAAAATTGTCCCCATACAATCAACTGTTTATACCCCCTCCAAAAAAGAAAGCCATAAGGTGATCCAATCATGAGCAGCACAATTATCTGAATATTAAAGAACGAAATATTTCATTAATCACTAGCCAGTTCCTTCAATAGTAGATGCTGTAAATGGTATTCTGTCAGTCCTCTGACCTTTAAAGTAATCAATCCTCAACTTCATAAAGTTGTTAAAAGACTACTGCTGTATTTTATGAGTTACTAAGGTCACTGTAGAGCCTAGGGGATATAACGAAATCCCGTGCCACCAAATTTTGTGATTCAGTTACATTTCGATATGCATAGCAGTGTGTAAGCTGTGTTGCACTACGTTGCCAACTGTGCTTTTCATTTAGTGTTTGTGCTTTAATTTCCAATGACAGTCGTCATGCCAAATCTCTTCCCATCCAAATTCCTTCTGCCTGTGACCTATTGCTCAGCTGTTAGGCTGATGATGCAGTTTCAAGGTACCCCGCACATTTCAAGTGACCCTGTAAAATTTCTAGTTCACCTTTAGCGCTACAGCATGAGTTCACAGCAAAAAAATCCGATTTCAATTGTCTTAAATGTTTTCATTAATTAAGGGATCGTCTGCATTTACTTTATAGTACTACCACCATGTTTTATTAGATTATGCTATATTCCGCTTGATAGCGATGTTTTATACTTCACCCTTACGACTGCAGCAAGAGTCCACATCAGTGGAATATGTGTACAAATGTTTTAAGTGTTTTTTTATTGATAACTATAAAGAAATCATTTGCATTTAGCTTGATAGTTCAACCTACATGTTTTATTAGATTATTATTGTACATTTTGCTATGAGCAAAATGGACAATTATAATCAATAAAACACATTATCAAGCTAAATATCAAGCTAAACCTTCATAATCTAATAAAACATGTCGGTCGTCCTGTTAAGCTAAATGCGATGTCTTAATTATAAACACATTTAAAAAAAATGTTTGTAAACGTATTTCAATAATTGGTGCACTCCACCAATGAAACATGTTGCCATGGAGCTAAACTTATGGTTATAATTGATGCCATTGCTATCGAGCAAAATATACATTAGTAAACATGTTGATTGTACTGTAAGGCTAAATGCAAACGATCTCTTAATTAAAACACACTTTTAAAAAACACTGGTAATTGTATTTTATTGCTGTGAACTCTTGTTGCAGCGCTATTGTGAACTGGAAACTTTACAGTAGAGGTCTGCATGGGACTTATTTTTCATCACGCTCCTGCAAGTTTCTGTCCCGCTCCCGCAGAAATGAGTAATATTTCGACCCACACCTGCCTGCATCTGTTATGGTTTGTCCCGCTCCCGCCTGCTGAATCCTGCAAGCAAGGCTGGTGGAGTATAGGGTGGGACAGAAATTTTAAATGCTATAATATCTTGGCTAATAAAAATTGAATAAGGTACCAAATTTATTTGTTGCCTAACTGACATACAGGAATTTATGAAACATAGGCTATATTATGTGGGCACGACTCCAGCTGCGAATTAAAGACGTCTTTTATATAAAGGTAGATTTGGCTAACCAGTTTTCCACAAAAAAATACAACCAACAACGTTTCTAACTAGGCTACAGACCTGAATTAAAAATATCTAAACAGTCTCAATAGAAACATTTCACAGTCAAAATGAGGGAAATATAGGGTAACATTGAAATTTGTGGTGCGGCTCTGCGTTTATTCCAACCTCAGTCAGTGCGCTCATTGCTCTTCCATTCTGCCGGCGTCCCAGATAGAGGTCTGCACGGGACTGATTTTTCATCCCGCCCCCGCAATTTTCTGTCCCACTCCCGCAAGAAACTAAATGTAGACCTGCGCTGAATGCTTTTGCGCCGCGTCCCGCGGGCGTCCTGCCCCGTTGCAGACCTCTACTTTACAGAGCTATGGCATGACAGCCACAGGAGGAAGGAATTCAGATGAGGGAAGAGGTTTGGTATAACAGCACCACTATCAGTCTGTGTTGCACTGCCAAACAAATAGTCCATAGGAGCTTTCCTTGCACAAAAATGTTCTGTGGGCTGAACAAAAAATGATTGGTTCAGAGATAACCAATCAGATTGTAGAGGAGGTAGGTCCAAGACATCTGATAGAAATTTCATGGAGTGCATTCATTTGTGAGCTGAGTACATCGTTATACCCTTAGTAAAGCCGAAGAGCAAACTACTAAATTAGGGTCATTGTTTAATTGTTAGTAATATTAGTAACATTGTTAATTTATTCCTCAGATGAGAAGTACATATGGTTTTGGGACTGGTCCACTTCCACTGCAGACACTTAACTTATTAGTGTGATAATTCAAAAGGTATTTGCATTATACATCGCGACAGCGTTTATCTCCTTCCACCGTGCCCCGTTCTTATCATATGGCACACAGTTCGAAAACATGTCAGGGATGGTTGCTTGCTTATCTTTGGATGTTGTGCTGGTGCTGTGGATATTTTAATTTCACTGGGAGCTGCACTTCTCCCACTCCGCTGCGTGCCTCTGCTTTAGGTGGTGGAATAAATTTGTCGTGCTGCTTGATATGTTACTTGGTTGCAACAGTTTTCAAACAGACATTGCAAAGAGACCTTGTTTGGTCTGTGTCCGATGGCGCAAAACTGAGCCATTACCATGTTGTTTGTGAATCCGCTACAGTGTTTGGGTGCGCCGCGCTAATGTACCCGTGAAGGACGGTGCGTCACATTAGGCGCTCGTGTGTAAAATAAGTAATAAAATCGATTTTCATAAAAACACATCGTCCTGAACTGTAAATTCGAATTAATCGATAAAATCATTAAGCATCCAACTAAACGTGTTTCTATTGGCATGTTTGAGTTTTGGTTTATGTTCTAGCCTACTTTTTAGGCAGGGGAAGGATTTTGGGTGACCAATGGGGACTTTCCTCCAGTGTGGTTCCAGATAATCAGTGGCTCAAAATTGTCCTTGAATGTGAGTTAATGTATGAATCTTAATGAATGTGGTATTTTTTATGTGAGGCATACGTCCCATTATGCTCTGCTTCCAGAGAGACATTCCATGTAACTAGACCTTGGACATGCAAGGTGAAGCTGGACTAGCAGTCAGACATCTTTCATTTGCCTGTTTATTATGATTTCTTTAACATTTTCCTCAGGAGCATGATGGTTTAAGGTTTCTCCAAACCAGGCAGAATTAGCCCAGAAAACACTAAATGTTTGTGTGATATTGTTTTGCATGTATATTTTTTTAGAGCTATCTGATGACCTGGATGACTTGAACTTCTTCAATCAGAAAAAGAAAAAAAAGAAACCGAAGAAGGTATTCGACAATGACCTAGAAGAAGAGTTAAAGGTTGGTTTTTTTTATATACTTGCGTTTCACAATGTTCTTTTTCCTTTCACATATATCCCAGTTCATGGTAGGAAAAGGGAGTGGTATGAAATCAGTGTATGCAGTCCTTGTGCGTGTTAAATTTTAAGCAGTCGAAGCAGCAGTACTATGAATGTTCCTAAATGTTTGCCACAGGAGCTGAAAATTGATGGAGAACAGCCAGAAATGCCAGAGAAGGATGACCTGGACATTGTGCTGCAAACAAAAAAGTCAAAGAAAGTTGAATTTCAAGAGGAGGGTGAGAAACTGGAAAAGGATGAAGGTATGTGTCGCTCTCTGCTGCATTCAGCTGAGTACATAATGTCTTTAGAGAGCTGAGCAATGTTTGAAGAAGCTTGTTTGCAGGATGACCTAGATCTGCTTGGTGTTACCCTGCAAAAGCAATTTTGGGCTTGAAGCCCCAGCCTGCAGGGCTCGTGCATTGCTGTGGGCTGCTTCTGTATACTGTGTTGTGTTGCAGCGATGGAGGATGATGAACGGAAAGGCAGTGATGGTATTACATTTGGCACTCCAGCTGGGCCCACCTGGGGAGGCACTGAGAGGGACTATACATATGATGAGGTACAGTGTGCCTTAGAGATGGTTCTCAGCAAACTGTCTCTTCCCACACCCTCACAGACATGCAGAAATTTGTCTTGGACTCATCACAACTCTCCAAAGTAAATCGTGGTGATGATCAGCGGCACTGACTTTCATTTCCACGTTTGAAATGTATGGCCTCACAGGATACTCCTGTGAAGCACAAAAATTCTACGCGTCTAATGCATGACCTTCACAGCTCTTGAACCGAGTCTTCAACATCATGCGGGAGAAGAATCCAGACATGGTAGCTGGAGAAAAGAGGAAGTTTGTTATGAAGCCACCGCAGGTGGTCAGAGTTGGCACCAAGAAGACATCATTTGTGAACTTCACTGATATTTGTAAACTGTGAGTGTCCTGCATTTTATCGAGTATGATTAAGTCTGATTCTCACTGACTTTCCTACCCTGCCAGTGTGAGACAGCAATTGACACCCTTTTTCTTCTTTCTAGGCTGCATCGACAGCCCAAGCATCTGCTTGCATTCTTGCTGGCAGAGTTGGGGACAAGGTATACTACGTTAAATCCAAAGCATACTCCTGCTCCATGTTACTCAGGGAACTATCACAATAGTAACACATTATGCACATCAAGTACTTTCTTCTAGTATTCTTGCCGGTCTGGGTAAAATGAGACAAGTTACTTGGAGTGTTTGTTCATTTAATTTATTTTTATAAGCAGTATTTTATTTTGGAAAAATGTAAGAGTGGAGCATGGTACAGGAGAACTGGTAGTACTGAGTCTGCCTGTTTCTTCAGTTGAAACAAAACATCTGTGGAAAGGGCATATTGACAGATTCCTCCTAACAAGCTCCATTTTCTTTCTTTCCAGTGGCTCCATCGATGGAAATAACCAACTTGTAATCAAAGGAAGATTCCAGCAAAAACAGATAGAAAATGTCCTTCGTAGATACATCAGTGAGTTGAGAATCTGTTTCTTTTCCCCCTCGCTAAATAACATGACTGCCATGTCTCCCAGTGTGACGTTTTCCTCTGTAATCCGCAGAAGAGTATGTGACCTGCCACACCTGCCGCTCCCCAGAGACCATTTTGCAGAAAGACACCAGGCTGTATTTCCTGCAGTGTGAAACCTGTCACTCCCGCTGCTCCGTGGCCAGCATCAAGACAGGCTTCCAGGCTGTCACGGGCAAGAGGGCACAGCTGCGTGCCAAGGCCAATTAGCGCCTCCTTTGCTTTATAGCCGGGAGAAGTTCTGGCTGCCCGAACTCTAAACTGAAGGGTGGCGTCTTTGGGGGTGTGGCCCGTCCTTCAAAAAAAAAATCATTCAACTTGGTTGGCTGTGTTTTCCACTGATGCTGAGTGATGTCACTCTCCTCAGCCGTTTCTTCTTCCTGTATTTCTATCTACTCCATCCCATGTTTTTTATTTTTGTGAACCGCTGATTAAAGCAGTATCGCATTTATTTAAAAAGCTCACGTGACTTTGTTTTTCCTGTGCATGACAACTTACGAAATCATTCAGCAAATAGTGGCTATTATTGCAGATAATGAAATTGTACTGTCAATCTGAAGTGGGTGAATGCACAGTTTCCAAGCATGTGAGAAGTATCAATTCACACTATACGCTCAGATAATTTACACTGCCTTTCAGTGGCTTGATTTTGCAGTTTTCAAGATCAACTAATGTATGTAGGGATAACTGTAAACTGATATAATACAAATAATTATAATGGAATTATATTTAATCTATTTAATATCCAGATCAAGTATAGGATCCAAAGGTTGAATTGTTCCTGAGAAACCAACTGATGTTGATAAAAGTGGAAACTATGCAGAGAAAGCCCATTTGCTATGCAGTCTCCTTTAATCTTGGCAAACTGACTCATTGTAATGCTTAGTTGCTGTTTGTAAGATGAATTACGTTTGATTATATTTCTTATTAACAAGGAGTGTTGGGCTATTTTGACAGCAATTTTCCACATCCAGTATGTTGCCTTATGTCTTCTAGTTGAACTGTTTGAGATCCTTTCTCTGGGTCCTGTCACAAACTAAACGTCCAAGTACAAACAATGGATTGGCAAGATGCCAAGAATGTAAGAAGTATTGAGAATAAGCAATTCTGGTCATCTTTGGTTAATTGTTGTAGAGTTATTGATTTATTTATTTTTTAGCCTCAAGTAATTAAATCAGTAAGGTAGGTTCCATCTGTTGCCTTAAGGACATACTGTGGATTTTGTGTATATAAATTGTATTCCTATCCTTCACTTCTAGTTTGGAACTGAAGAGATTCAGTGTACCCTATGATATATTGGCCTTTTAAGACCCAATAAACATTAGTTATAATACAATAATATTCTTACAGGAATGTAGCACCCAATGTTTTTGGAGCATTGTAGGTAAGGGCTTAGTACAGATTCCCTTTAAATTCTGTGACTAAATGTTTCTAAAATATTTTTCACTCATTTGTGGAAAAAAATGTTTCAATGTTTTTTCCTATCCAATGTTATGATCAATCTTTAATGTGCAACTTTGCTGAATACTTTTCAAAAGTCTAAATAAACTCTCAAAGACTTTTGACAGCTGCTTTTGAAGAAATATTGGAATTAAATTCAGGTGATCTGAAAAGTACACTTGACCAGGTAATTAATCTAGATAATTAAAATAATACAGTAAGCTAAGGAAAATGAACACCTTAAAGGGAACATTTAAAAAAGGAAAAAGAATGTGTTGACATTGTGTCCACTGCATCAGAAATTTGTACTGGATAAGAGGTTGGAGTAGCTGGTGGGTGTGTTAGCCATGTACTTCAGTGGCATAGCTGTCAAGTCTCCCGTTTTGGCCGGGAAACTACCGTATTTTACCCCTCTTTCCCGCCGTCCTCCCGTATTAGTATTTTCCCGTAAATCTCCCGTATTATAATATCAATTAAAAAAAAATTCCTCTGCCTCTCCAAACTGAACTGTCAGTAGCCTCGCGAGAACTGCCACCTGCAGTAGTCTGCAGGTCATTTACAACATTAACCAGGTCATAAATGCGGAGGTTAAAATGGCAATGCTGTGTGCCAAAAACAACGTTACTTTCACCTTCTGTGACGACTTCAACAAGGATACAAAGTCTACAACAAATCTGTATAAGTCATTAGTGAATGCCAGAGAGCCACATGAGTGAACATGAGAAATTAAAAGAAAATGTGTAATGAAAATAAAATGTAAATGACAAGTGGTTATTTTAGATTTCTTGTACATCTGTCTTAAAATGTAAGGGATACTGGAGCTAGGTTGGGGTGGTGGGATGCCTCGTGGTGGGTGCTGGAAAATTTCCCTTATTTTCAAATCCAAAACTTGACAGGTATGTTCAGTGGACCAAGGCAGTGGTAGCCAATTGTGAGCATAAACATTTTAGGAGTAAAGATACTTTAATGGTCAGTTATACAAGCATATCACAACTGTTTAATTTTTACATATCCCTCCTTGCTTTCCCATGTACTATGTACTGCCTGTTCATTTACGTCTCCATGAGACACATACAGGTGAGAGCAAAGCTTAGGATGAGAGAACAATAACCATTTATTACATTTTTGGGCCCAACTGTGATGTGATTACAAGCTGCAAACACAATCATAAACATCTAAACTGCATGACCACACACCATCCAATTTTGGGACATTCATAGATACGTGTATTTCCAGCTATAATGTTGAGGACTTAAACTACCAGACTATGCAATGATTTAGTGGTCAGTTCTGTACCCTCACACCCCCAGGCCGGGGTGTTTTGAGTCCCACCTCTGATTCTGTGTGTATGTCAAGTCTGCATGTTCTCACGGGGTCCTGCATCTCAGCTGCTGCCTTTCACACCTTGTGTGTCCTGCATCTGTGTTTCCAGTGTCATGTCCAGCACTTCATCTGAGCCTGCACTCAATAAAAGATTGAGATCAAATAGCAGCTAGAAACCGCGGTGCTAGATTCCCTTCAGTGGAATCTAGCTGGTTTAACAGAATGTATCAAAATGTAACAGTTTTTGAGAAAATTGTAGATTTAGATTAGTATGTTTCTATAAATACAAACCATTGAAATCAGACAGGGTTTTCCCACTTTGATAAAAGCAAAGCTGTCAACAATGTTTCCAGGATTTGCTATTCTTTTCCCCTTATCTCACAATCGATTGGTATTTGCTGTAATAACTAGAGACATTACATTGTTTTTAATCTACTTATCTTTTCCATAGAGAAATATTGTGACTCATTTTACCTAAGTGAGAGGAACTGTATAATTATTTATGGCATGTACGACATCCATACATGCATCCAGGTAGCGTATACAATATGCTACATGTTTTCACAATACAACAATATTATCAACAACAACAATAATAATAATTTATTATAATAATAATAACAAGAATCCTGGAGAATGAATTAGGAGGCGGGTTTGAGGGGAGGCGGAAGTGTATTACAGGCGGAAGCGGTACAGCCTAGAACATCCCGAGCCCAGACACAGAGGACGGAGGTAACCGCGGTGCATCGCCCATAGATAAACGTTCAGTAAAACGTGAGTCCACCTACCCGGGGCTGAATTTTCCGCAGTATTTTACGTAGATTAACATTTTGGATGCCGCCATTGGATCGTGTGCGGCGTTATTACGTCCTGTTGAAAGCCATATTGAGGCATATAGAGCAAGGACTCCGTTTGCTAAGCTAACGAGCTAGCCGATTTAGGCCGTACGGTGAATCGCCGATAATAGGTAACGATCACTAAACAGCAGCATTGTGGTTTTATTGAGCAGGTAAATTAACATAGAGATGGTGGTGAGTATAATGGTCGAAACCCATCCCCATTTTGTTGCTCGTTTTAATCTGGTAATTAGCTCCACGCTTTATTTCGACACTTTGCAGCGTCCCGGGTGATTTGAGGAAAGGATGCCGGTGTCCTGCACACATGTGCGGCGCGAACCTTTCGGTGAATCGCGGAGCTTTAATCCAGCGCCAACGCGACCCAGTAGTGATGGCCTTCCGATTGAATCGGCGTGCCGTGGTCCAGTTTGCTACGGGTTAAGCCGTGTGAGGTCTTAGGGGAAACTGCAGGCCTCTGCGGCCCAAGTCACGAACAATAGCTATGCGTCTGGTATTCAAGGGTTCCGCAGAGCCGAGCGTGACAGGGGCTGGATGAGGCTCTCTGGGCGCCTCGTAGGTGTGGATCCGTCCGATCGGATGGGGGATCCCATTCTGGTGTCTAGGGGCGGTGTTCACGGGGGCCAAGCGGTAGTGGTTAGCTGTGCGACGTGTGTCGGATTGAGGAAATTGAATTAGAAGTGTTGGAGTGTAAAGAGACTCTTCGGTTCGGTAGGTGGGGTTGCAGCGGCGTGGGGTGGTGATACTGGAATAGGGCTTCGGGAGCGGATGCTGCCTGCTGCAGTGCGGTTTACCCTTGAGAAGCAGCCCGCTTTGTACCGACGGGCCGTGTTAAGGTTCGGCCGAGTCGTCCGATCGCGGCCTTTAAGCTGAGGTAACGCGGCAAGTGCGTGTAGTGATCGTGGCCTTATTTCGGTGTTAGGCTCGGAGATTTCAGTAACGATGCCTGTGTCACTGTGCTGGTTGAACACCTTTGAGAAAACCATCGATTGTACTCATTGATTCGGCTATTAGGATATGACTTGTACAAAAAATACAGATATACTGCTTGGCAGATCTTCATCGTTAAACACGGTCAAAATCCGGATATTTGTCCTTCGGTGGTTCCCTGCAGAAAAAAACACGTTTAAATGATTAAGTGGAGGAAAATGCACCAAATTAAAGACTTGTATAAACATATAATGGGTACGTTGGTGTTTCCGTTTATCTTGTTAAGGATAATATTAAGGTTACCAACGTGATCAAACTGCACAAAGTCAAGAATTAATTTAATCTTTGAAAACCATAGATGAAAACGGGTAGGACACCAACTAGGGCTGGGCGATATGCGATATATATCGGATGACGAAATTAAAACGCCTATTATTTCATATTATGCTCGTAAAATATTGTTTACGGCTACATTTTCTTCATCATTTGGGTGACAGTTTGCAAGGTTACACCCCACCACATGGGATGCGGTGGCGTTTGGAAGTTTTTATTTATTATTTGTAACCCACAGACAATCGACAAATATGCACCAAGATAGAAAACTATCCATAAATATATATTTTTAAATTTTTGACGTGTGACGTCATAGCCGCAAAAACACGGATCGATTCATAACATGTGAAACGTGTTCTGAACATGTGCGGATCGCGTCCTGACTTTCCGGATTTATGTCCAGTTTGTACCACTACGGAGCCCCTAAGATCTTGGTGGGAAAACATTGTTTGAAATAGTTTTGTTCTCTCACAGTAGTTTTGCGATCCCACTACACTTGCCCGCTTCATGTTTGCTTACGCATTAAACTGTGGAGGGCAATGCATACCATGTCCGCTATGTGTTTTTATAAGTATTTATAAATAATTGCACTGTGTCCACCGCCAGTGACTTTAATCAAGAGAGCTGGGTTTAAACTCGGACTGTTTTCTGGAACATTTCAGTATAGATCTGCATATCCCCGCATACATCACCAAGCGAGAATACAGGGAGACAAACCCGAAAGTAGGTTCGGGTTTAAACCTTAACTATGGACACCGCGGTAAAGTTAGCTTTATATTCAATTTCGCTGGTGTAATGTCTTTCCGTTAAAGCAAGCAGCGCCCCTTGGTTTTCCAGATTTTTTTATGGGTGTATTTTACTTAATATTTTACTGTTTTTTGCGTGCACTTCACATTCAGTAGCCCCGCTGTCTTGCTTAAAATCATTGACGACGACTGGACACTGCAAATATTAATCAATAGGTATAAAAACACACATAGGAAAGTTACATGGTGTGCATTGTCTCCCATAATTTAATCCTTAAACTTTAAGCACACTTAACATGTCTGTATTGTTTAGGTTTAATACTTAATAATAATAATAATAATAATAATAATAACATTATTATTAATACTTTGTAGTCCATTTATGCTACGTTTTGTACTTTAACCGGACTCAGTACGGACATTATTAGTAATGCAAAACTATTGCAAGGGAAAGTGAAAGTATTGCGTGGGAACGCAAAACTATTAAAATATTTTACCACCCTGACCTCTTAGGGGTTCTGTACAAATGTGATGTTGCATGAGCTGTTAATTTAAATTGTGCTTTAATCATTCTTTTCAGTATTAACTGGATATGTCTGTATCAATTAGGTTTATACATGTTAGTTCAATAATTCTATCTTTTGTATTTTATATGGACACAGTACAGTTATTATTAGTAAAGGAAAAGTATTGCGAGGTTAGACACAGTACAGTTATTAGTAACGCAAAACTATAGTGAGGGAACTGAAAACTACTTTAAAAAATATTTTACGACCCAGACCTCTTATGCCCCACAGCTCTTTAGTAAAAAAAAAAACAAAAAACACAAATACATCACTATCTCGTTACATTTATGATTTGCTTCTTTTTATTTGTGGATTTTTGTCCAATTCCATCCGCAGCTGATCTGTAGAAAACATCCAGAAATATGACGTGC